AATTATATCGGTCTTTTATCTAAATTGTACAGCCTGTGTAAGACAATTTCGAGTGAAATGTATACCCTGTTTAAGACAGCAAGGCCAAAAACCATACCCTAGCCAGCGGCACGTCCCCGTATAGCAAATATATGGATAAATCCGTGAAACAGCTATGGTTATTGCACAAATTTGTGTTTTTTTCTTCAAAATTATAGGAAGAGATCAGCTTGAGTTAAATGATCAGATATAAGTTATTAAGATTCTTATTTTTCATCATCTTTTTTAGGAATTTGTGTTTGTTATGTTCCACCTATATGTCAATAAAAATGCAGAGATGGCTACACTTATGTTCGAGAAACCGTTGAAATGTAATAACAACCTAACAATTACAATGGAAAAGGTTGACAGCGATGGACACTGGACATATTTTAAGTCAAGAAAAATCAGAATCCATCCTAACGAAGTAGGGAATGCGCGATACAGTTATTTGGTCACTTATGCACCAACACGTTTTCAAAGATTTAAAAGTGTTTTATTTGATCAAGATCTTCGTGCTCAGGAGAAGTCATCTCGAAAACCCTTTGGTGGAAACAACCAGTACGATGTGTTCAAAGATCCCAAGGATACAGAAAATAGATACGAATGTATTTTCGCTGGACAGTTTTTTTATATAAAAATGCTGTACGATCAAGTTGAGGAAAGTGGAAGAAATCTGAAAAAGATGATGATTGAAAGTGAGCACATAGGATTTGGAAGTCTCCCATTTTTACCAAAAGAGAGGAAATCCTTTTTTGATTGGATTACAAATTCAACGAAATCTGGCCTCACCCCTAAAAGAAGTGCTTTTCTGTGTGCTTTATTGGGCCAGCTTTACAAAAAAAGTGGAGACCAATGTTGTCTTTCATTGGTTTTAGATGATAGTAAACAGACTGTAAACTCTTTGCTTATTAAGTTGCGCGATTGCAACGAAGCATGTCTACCCTCGAGCTCACTTGATTTCATAAAGCACATTGACTACGACCTTCTTGTAGACAGCTCTTTTTCAAGTGATCTGGGATACGTCTTAACCTTTTGTCATCTGTTTGACAGCCAAACAGTTGTTGAGAGAATGAAATGGTTTAAGCACACTTTCACCAATGACTTTGATGAAATGGCGCAAAAAACTGTGAAAAGAATCCTACAACTTAGAGAGAAGGAAGGTAAAGAGCTGTTGATAAAGTGCATTATAGAGCGCACTCCAAACATTTCGTCACTTTGGAAATTGTCAAGGAYTTTGGAGAGCCAGAATGCCATGATGGATCAGGCTGATTTCATTGCCGATAAATTCAAGCTCTTTTCCACTTCCGTTTACCGAAAAATAGATGTCTTTGATAAATCAATATGGCATGATGCGCCAAATTCATTGAAAGGGAGAATTGCAGTTCCGTTTGCTGAAGAATTAAAGCGACGTGTAGAAGGCCGAAGCACAAAGCTTGACGAGGAATCATTGACTAATCTCATGCTCGACAGAGATCTTCAGTCTGGAGCTAGTGCTGTCTTGGTGGACATCATGAAAGTCCTTTCAAAATCGAAGAGCAGTCTTGATGTCGTTTGTAAAATCTTGAACTCGCACAACTTCTTATCATTTTGGAAGAAGACCAAAGAAGAAGATAAGGAAGACATAATTTGTTGCCTTGCATCAACTAAAGTCAAGTCAAGTGTAGATTATAGTACACTAAAAAAAGATGAAGTTGTTAAAGGTTTCCGAGCTCTTGAGGAGCTTTGCCAAATCGCTTGCTTGCGCAACCATGAAGACCTTCTTGCAAAGTTCATTTGCCAAGAAATGCAAAGATGTGGTCTCCGATCTATTGTTGATGCTTATGATGAAATTCAGAAGTCTATGGGAGTAACTGGTAAAGAGTGGCATTTAAAAACGCTTATCAACACAGTGCAAGTCGAACAAGCAAGACCAGATGTCAAGTCTAAGCTAATTGATACCATTTTCMCAACATTGAATTCAGGGACACTAACGATAGATGGGTAAGTGATTTGTTTGATCTCAAAGAAATTGATTTATTTTTCCGATAGCTGTGTAAAAAGATAAATTTAACACCGTAAAAAAGTAGGTGAAATAACTTACTAACGTTTCGGACGTTAATCCTTCGTCGGAGTAAAGGGATGGAAGTAAGCTAATTKTGGTGTAGTTTTATTATTTATTTTTATCCACCCCCTTTCTCAATGCTATTCTCCAGTCTCCATCATCTTTTCTGATTATGCTCTTGAATTTTACTATGATATAAGCTATTAGGTGTGTGTTACTTTGTAATGTATCTTTTTTGAATGTTGTTTAAAGGGGAAGAGAGGAAATCTTGCTTTTCCTACTTGATCAAATAAAGCTTCCGTCAAAGTCTGGAAGTCAAAACCACCAAAAGACCAGCAATGTGATCAACAATGTTTTATCTGAGCGGAAATTGTGGGAAACCGTTTTCCAAGCAACGGGGAAAGTACAACGTCTACACAGCCAC